AACAGGGGTTTACAAGAAAAGAAATCTTTCTGAAAAGAAAAAAAACTGGGTGTCTGGAGGCTAGAAGAAACAGTGTCTGAGACACAGGGAACAGCCAGGCTAGGTGCCTAAGTAGCAACCCATGGCTCGTGGGGGAAAACTACAAACTACAGTGGTGCCTCGCTTAACGAGCGCATCGTATAACGATGAAATCGCATAGCGATCCGTTTTTTCGGATCGCTAATGCGATCGCTCAACGTTTTTTTAATGGGGAAAATTCGCTTTGCGAAGACCGGTAAGCGTTTCGCTTACCGATCTTCGCAAAACGAACCCCGCTGATCAGCTGTTCGGCGGCCAAAATGGCCTCCGGAAGCCGGGAAATGGCCCAAAATGGCCGCGCGCAGCGTTTTCGCGCCCTTGTTAAGCGAGGCGAGGGCGCGAAAATGGCTGCCGGCCATCCTGAAGCATCGCTGAACGGTGAGTATTTGGCCCATTTGGAACGCATTAAACGATGTTTAATGCGTTCAATGGAAATCGCTGCCCCGTTCAGCGATGCTTCAGCATAGCGAAGGTTAATCCGGAACGGATTAACCTCGCTATGCGAGGCACCACTGTATCAAGCTCTCTAACACAGGAGAAAAAAAAAGGTCCCTTTTAAAACGAGGCTTGTGTATTTGAATCTGTGAGAAAGCAACCTGCCAAATTAACAAGAATATAAACGGTTAAACATGCCTTCTAAGAGAGGGAAAAGGTGAGTTATGGAGGTAGCAGAGAGTCACACATTACCTCAGGAAGGGAAAATGTCAGACCAAGAGGACCAGGAATATGATGGCTCAAGGGAACAGGAGGGTGGCTCAGGGAGAGAAAGTTCTCAGGATTTTGTGAAATGGAGATTGAAGAAGGAGTTTCACTTAAGAGAATTACAGATCACAGTTGAGGCAGGGGTCAGAGAAAAGGAGATGGCCATGGAACAAGAAAGAGCAAAAGCTGAGGCCGAAGCCAGACAGTGAATGCATTTAAATTAATATAGATGGTTGTATATGAAAAAAAAATAACATCCCCTGAAAATAAGCCCTAATGCATTTCTGGAGCAAAAATTAATTTTCGGGGAAACACAGTAATTGAACTGGAAGGGGCGTTCAGAGTGCTGAACCTGGAAAAGGCAGGGGAGGATGAGACGAGTGTGCCTCAGAAATCTGCTGGACTCGTCTTTCTGTGGAGGTGCACAAACACACGTCCACTAAAAGGACCGGAAGTGTTCAGAAAAGTTTTTAAAAATTAAATTTGAAATGACTGGGCAAAAAGGGGCAATAATTAAGTTAGGCATCAATTAAAAAACAAATAGATGTCAATTATGTCTCTTGGATGGAAGCAGAATTCACTCGGTTGAAATAATTGAGTGGTAACATCTGGTGCCGTGACTCGGATTCTCTTGAGGTCATCACTTGGAGACAAGCAGGGAATTATAGGATGGCTGGTAGACCTGTATTCACCTTTCCACTTCATTGCTTCTTCTTATTGAGTATGATACCTGATAATATGGATAAGTCAAAGGATTATATAGTTGTGCATATTGTTACGGCAGCTAGAATTCTATATGCTAAAAATTGGAAAAGTTTGACGATACCAAAACAAGAAGATCTTATTGAAAAAATACAGGAAATAGCAGAAATGGACATTTTATCAGAAGTCATGAAGGACTATCCTCTACAAAAGGCAACAGAAAGATGGGACCTATTCAACAAATGGACTAAATTATCAGGCAACGTGCAAATAGCATACATTGAAATGAGAACTAAATCTAGAATGCAGAAAAGAGTAAACAGTATAACTTAAAATTTTCATATAGCAATAAGTATAGAATGGTTGTTAGTATGTTATTGTCTCTCCTCTTCCTCATAAATTCCAAGTCCCCTTTCCCTTTCTGTCACCCCTTATGTTAAAAATTAAAATAAAAATTTTGGGGAAAAAAACATTGTCCTTTCTCTCCACTGACTCTTGGGTGACCCCTGCCAGCCACTGTTCCTCACTTCCCACAACAACTTCCCAGAAATTTCTGCCTGCTGTGAATCTCTCCTGTCCCGGCACATTAGCAGCACTGGCCAAATCTCTTAGGGTTGTCAGGCAGATCTTGCAATTTGGATCCACATGTGACACTTTTATGATCAGAAAGAATAAGCTGCAGATGAGCTGTGTCTGGATCCAGGGTTACGTTTACTCAGGAAATAAAGGTGGTAGTTTTGTGCCCAGAGGGACTCCCTGACCACGATCATTGTCTCTTTAGGGAGACGGGATCGTTGCACTGCTTTCTGCAGCTGAAGTCCATGTACCAGAGCATCTTTGAACTGGTTCATGACGCCTCCTAGAAAAGGATTTATATCACAAAAATCCCAAATCTTCCACTTCAGTTCCGGAAGAAAGACGACTGGATTCTCAAACGTGACTTTCTCGTCGCTCCTCTGCAGGATTCTTCCAACATCCTGCAGGAGTTCACCCAGGGGTTGCTGGAACTTCTGCTTCATCTCCTGGATGAGACCTCCAAGGGAGGAGAGCTCCTCAGACAGCCTGGCCAGGTGTTCGTCCCTTTTCCTTACTATTTCTTTCTCCACCTCTTCCATCTGGACCATTAAAAGCTTCTCCTGTTCTTCCAAAAACTGGCGGAGTTTCCTGAATTCTGCTTTCATCTTTTCCATCTCGGCTTTTGTTTGCGTAAGCAGGTGTTTGCTTTCATTTACTCTTTCCTCTTTATATGTCATAATTTCTGCCCTGTCTTTCTTCAGAAGCTCCAAGTGACTGGTGATCAGTTCCTTGTGCTGCTGCGCAGCCTCCTCCAGAGGAACCACCTGGTGGTCTCGGTGCTCTTTGCGTTTGTCACAAATCACACAAATGAGGGTTTTGTCGTCCTGGCAGAAGAGTTTCAGGGGCTCCTGGTGTTCCTCACAGACACTTGGAGACAAGCAGGGAATTATAGGATGGCTGGTAGACCTGTATTCACCTTTCCACTTCATTGCTTCTTCTTATTGAGTATGATACCTGATAATATGGATAAGTCAAAGGATTATATAGTTGTGCATATTGTTACGGCAGCTAGAATTCTATATGCTAAAAATTGGAAAAGTTTGACGATACCAAAACAAGAAGATCTTATTGAAAAAATACAGGAAATAGCAGAAATGGACATTTTATCAGAAGTCATGAAGGACTATCCTCTACAAAAGGCAACAGAAAGATGGGACCTATTCAACAAATGGACTAAATTATCAGGCAACGTGCAAATAGCATACATTGAAATGAGAACTAAATCTAGAATGCAGAAAAGAGTAAACAGTATAACTTAAAATTTTCATATAGCAATAAGTATAGAATGGTTGTTAGTATGTTATTGTCTCTCCTCTTCCTCATAAATTCCAAGTCCCCTTTCCCTTTCTGTCACCCCTTATGTTAAAAATTAAAATAAAAATTTTGGGGAAAAAAACATTGTCCTTTCTCACCACTGACTCTTGGGTGACCCCTGCCAGCCACTGTTCCTCACTTCCCACAACAACTTCCCAGAAATTTCTGCCTGCTGTGAATCTCTCCTGTCCCAGCACATTAGCAGCACTGGCCAAATCTCTTAGGGTTGTCAGGCAGATCTTGCAATTTGGATCCACATGTGACACTTTTATGATCAGAAAGAATAAGCTGCAGATGAGCTGTGTCTGGATCCAGGGTTACGTTTACTCAGGAAATAAAGGTGGTAGTTTTGTGCCCAGAGGGACTCCCTGACCGCGATCATTGTCTCTTTAGGGAGACGGGATCGTTGCACTGCTTTCTGCAGCTGAAGTCCATGTACCAGAGCATCTTTGAACTGGTTCATGACGCCTCCTAGAAAAGGATTTATATCACAAAAATCCCAAATCTTCCACTTCAGTTCCGGAAGAAAGACGACTGGATTCTCAAACGTGACTTTCTCGTCGCTCCTCTGCAGGATTCTTCCAACATCCTGCAGGAGTTCACCCAGGGGTTGCTGGAACTTCTGCTTCATCTCCTGGATGAGACCTCCAAGGGAGGAGAGCTCCTCAGAGAGCCTGGCCAGGTGTTCGTCCCTTTTCCTTGCTATTTCTTTCTCCACCTCTTCCATCTGGACCATTAAAAGCTTCTCGTGTTCTTCCAAAAACTGGCGGAGTTTTCTGAATTCTGCTTTCATCTTTTCCATCTTGGCTTTTGTTTGCGTAAGCAGGTGTTTGCTTTCATTTACTCTTTCCTCTTTATATGTCATAATTTCTGCCCTGTCTTTCTTCAGAAGCTCCAAGTGACTGGTGATCAGTTCCTTGTGCTGCTGCGCAGCCTCCTCCAGAGGAACCACCTGGTGATCTCGGTGCTCTTTGTGTTTGTCACAAATCACACAAATGAGGGTTTTGTCGTCCTGGCAGAAGAGTTTCAGGGGCTCCTGGTGTTCCTCACAGAGCCTTTTTGATTCTTTTGCCTTCTCCTCTTCCAAGCGACTGAGTTGTTCCACTAAGTTGTCCAGCTGCCGATTGGGGATCAGGTTCGTTTGGACTTTTGTTCTGCATTGGGGCAAACCATTGCACCAGGCTTTTGCAGCTCTGTTTTTAACAAGGCCCCACCATGCCTGCTGCCCTGTGCCTTCCCCTGCAGAGATGCTCCCTATCCCTCCATCCCATCGGTCCCTCCAAATGCTTTGGACTTTTGTTCTGCATTGGGGCAACCCATTGCCCCAGGCTTCTGCAGCTCTGTTTTTAACATGGCCCCACCATGCCTGCCCCCCTGTGCCTTCCCCTGCAGAGACGCTCCCTATCCTTCCTTCCCATCTGCCCCTCCAAATGTTCTTCAGAAAGGCTGTTCCCTTCAGCCAATTGAGAAAAGCGGCACAGATGGAAGATTCCAAAATGCAATCACATGTGATATTCTTTTCTTTAACTCCTTGTCATCCAAAATAACTATATTTATTTATTTATTTGATTTATTTGATTTATATCCCGCCCATCTGGTCTGGTCGACCACTCTATAGCAATGTTATAGTACGCCCAGACTTTGGTTTTAACGAAAGTGTTAAATTACTGTAAAGGCATATTTTTAAAAGAATCATTTCAATTCTTTCTACTGCAACTGCCTGAATGCCCCAGCCCCCGTGGTCACTTGCCCTATCGGCATGCATGATGGAGCACACCAGTCTCTATGCTTGAATGCTATTTAATCCCACCCTACGCCCCCCAAATGGCCCTGTCCCTCGTGCCGATTCCCATGTCCACCCTTCCTTACTGGGTGCTACTCAGAGTCTCAGACTCTGAGCAGGTGGAGTCACTGTCTGACTGGCTCCATAGTGACTCGTGGTGGTTGTGGTGGTGATGGTGGTAATGACAAGACCAGCACTCCTTGTGGCTCTGATGGCACGCTCTAGGGACGAACATGTCGAAGACGGGTCTGAACCGCGCTGGCCGATGATGGAATCCATGGATGAAGAGCAAGTCATCCTGCAGTGATAGGGAATGGATTAAGAAGCACAAAGAAAGCAAGTTAGGGCTCCTATTTTGTTTTTCTTCTTGTTTTTATATACCTGGGTTTCCATGGTGCTAATATCACTTATTTGTTTAATTTTAAACGTTTGCCCTGTTCAATTGTGTCAATTATTTTTTTTGAAGACATCTTCCATGAGCACGAAGACAGTGATTTTGATTTCTTCTGTGCTCTCATCTCCTGCAACACAAATGAAAGATGGTCGGGAGTGGGTCTAGGAAGTAATTTCTCTCTTGCAAATAACCTGAGTTCCAGTCGCTGTCCCATTCTTCAGATTTCTTCATTCCTTATCGCCTCAATGATGTTCCGTAAGTCATCCTCTAAGAGGTAAATTGTCAGGTTGATAATTTCCTCATCGTCTCCTGCAACACAAATGAAAGATGGTCGGGAGTGGGTCTAGGGAGTAATTTCTCTCTTGCAAATAAACCGTGCAGCAGACCCCTTCTCCTTTGATGTGCAAGATGCCCCCTCCTGTGCTCCACTGTGCTCATGGACCTGCAGTGCAACTCTGAACTCAAAGCAAAGTTCAGGGAGGGGAGTGGAAAAGCAGACAAGCTTGGGCAATTTTTGAGAGAATTGACCCCTAGCTTTCCTGAGCTTTCCCAAATGTTCAAGCAGACCATGTGCCTTTTTGGGAGCACATACTTGTGCAAAAAGCCTCGTGGTGCAGTGGTTCAACTGCAGTGCCACAGCCAAGGCTCCGCTCACACCCTGAGTTTAATCTCAGGTTCAATTCTCAGGGTTGACTCAGGCTTCCATCCTTCCGAGGTTGGTAAACTGAGTACCCAGCATGCTGGGTGGAGGGGCAGAAGGGCTATGGGGCAGGATATAAGCCGCACACTTTGCTTTTTGGCTTTGCTTTGAGACTGAGGTAAGGAATTAAGCACGATCCCCACACTTGTTTCTGCCTTTCCTCTGAGAGGCAGCAGGTAAGGCAATGGGGAGCATTAACAGTTGGGAAAAGAGAAGCCAGTTGTTCTGTGGGAATAGATGTGCGTAATGGTGGCTATGGGGGATCCTCACTATGATTAGGGTGGCTTCCATCGTCTCTCTTATGCTCGGAACCGACCGGCAAGCGTACTTTGTGATGGTGCCTCTTCTCTCCTTACTCCGGTTCCCTTCTCACAAGGCATCTTTGTTTTCTAAGAAGCAACGAGCCCGAGCCCTTTTTGTTTCCCTCTTCTCTTAATTAAAGAATCCCTTAAAAGCTGAACTATATGCCATATAGCTGAAATGGCATAAAACTGAAAAAAGAATTACTAAAAATTCTTGAAGTATCCTTTTAAAAGTAACTTTGAAAATTCTCTAGAAATTGTTACTCATTACAACAGCCAGTAAGGAGCACCGTTGCTTCATTTCCACTTGTGTTACTTTTGGAGTGTAACCTTACTGCCTCCACATTAACAGAAAGGGCAACTTCTCACGAGTAACCACATTACTTGTAACTAATTACTGCCAAGCTCTGCCCACCGGGAACCCTCAGAGATACCTCTGGGAAGTCCAAGAGCAAGAGAGAAGGCCAGGCCCTGCAGTCCAACCTGAGTTCCAGTCGCTGTCCCATTCTTCAGATTTCTTCGTTTCTTACTGCCTCAAGGAAGTTCCATAAATCTTCCTCTAGGAGGTAAAGCGTTAAGGTTATAATTTCCTCATCGTCTCCTGCAACACAAATGAACGATGGTCGGGAGTGGGTCTAGGAAGCAATTTCTCTCTTGCAAATAAACTGTGCATTCTGAGCTCACAAGCTGCCCTAGCAGGCACGATCATCTTCCTTTTCACCAGAAAACCATCCGAACACGGCTTCTTTCTTACTTCTCATGATGGGCCCTGTGGTTCGCATAAGGCACATGGGAGTTTTGGCAGGCTTCGGTGGAGCCCAACCCTCCCGCATGGCTCCAGGGCAGAAAGAAGGTGTCACGTCCTTCTCGGCACGCATGATGGAGCACACCAGGGTCTGTGCCTTCACCACTTTTATTTCTGCCCTATGACCTCCACCCCCCCCCCATTGGCGCATGCTGATTCTTAACCATTGGTGGATAGACTTTAACTGGAGGTGCCCTCTGAGCCGCTGGCTGATGTTTCCTGATGGCGGCTGTGGTGGTGCTCATAGTGATGGTGGTGACGGTAAAAATAATGAGTCCAGCGCTGGTTGTGGCTGTGATGATGTTGCTGACTCCGGCGGCCTTTGATGTTAGGGAAATAAATAAATAAACAAATAAGTAAAACGCCAACAAAATATAAAAAACCAAGTATCGCCTCCATCATCGTTGTCACTTTGATTGTTGGATCCCTCGCTCCTTATCCGTATTGATTCGGTGGCACACCTTGATACCCTAAAACATACAATGCAGTGAGTTATAGAAACGATTTGTGGGCACACGGGAGTTTTTGCAGGTTTCGGTGGAGTCCGATAACCCTCCCGCATGGCTCCAGGGCAGAAAGAAGGTGTCACGTCCTTCTCGGCACGCATGATGGAGCACACCAGGGTCTGTGCCTTCACCACTTTTATTTCTGCCCTATGACCTCCACCCCCCCCCCATTGGCGCATGCTGATTCTTAACCATTGGTGGATAGACTTTAACTGGAGGTGCCCTCTGAGCCGCTGGCTGATGTTTCCTGATGGCGGCTGTGGTGGTGCTCATAGTGATGGTGGTGACGGTAAAAATAATGAGTCCAGCGCTGGTTGTGGCTGTGATGATGTTGCTGACTCCGGCGGCCTTTGATGTTAGGGAAATAAATAAATAAACAAATAAGTAAAACGCCAACAAAATATAAAAAACCAAGTATCGCCTCCATCATCGTTGTCACTTTGATTGTTGGATCCCTCGCTCCTTATCCGTATTGATTCGGTGGCACACCTTGATACCCTAAAACATACAATGCAGTGAGTTATAGAAACGATTTGTGGGCACACGGGAGTTTTTGCAGGTTTTGGTGGAGTCCGATAACCCTCCTGCATGGCTCCAGGGCAGAAAGGTGTCAGGTCCTTCTCTTGTCATGGAAACAACAAAACAGAAGCCAATCGAGAAATGCAGCACGGATGGAGGCTTCCAAATAGCAATGTTCTAGTACACCCAGGAGCTTGAGCTGAAGAAGGGGGGAGTCAGGGTGGGGTTGAGGGCTGTGGAAGGCGGGACGACCCGCAAGCAGATGTCCAGAGCCTTGAACAATGCTATGGTTTATAGCATATATATATATACTGAAACTGGGGAGGAGGTCCATGGTGGGGGGAGTGGCAAATGAAACGAGTTAAGGCCTCTCTCATTCTCATCTAGATGATGAATATTCAGAAAAGAATAAATCCAAGCCTACACTGAGCACAACAGTGAAGAAATCTCCAGATGGAGGAGGAGGATGGACTGGTTCCTCCTCGGGGGGTCCCCGGGAGAGCTGCTTGACCACAGGAGGGGCGATGAACATGTTAGGCAACGGCAGCTTCATGTTGTCTGCAGCGATGCCTATGATGGCCTCACTCCACTGATTATGGAAGAAGACAGGCCCGCCGCTCCTTGAGACCTGGGAAGAGAGTGGACACCAAGCACATCACTGAGGAGGGTCGAATGAGGCGGGAGAAGGAGCTCTCCTAGAACAGAGTGGGGGGGTGGACTGGATGATCCATAGGGTCCCTTCTGGTTCTGAGATGATGGCGATGATGCTCAAGGACCCTTCTATTCCTGCATCTTGTTTCCAACCAAGGTGGTTTCAGGAAGGGCTTCAATTGGCTGAAGGGAACGGCCTTTTTGAAGAACATTTGGAGGGGCCGATGGGAAGGAGAGATAGGGAGCACCTCTGCAGGGGAAGGCACGTGGGAGGCAGGCATGGCGGGGCCCTGGGCTTGACAGGCGGGGTCCTGGGCAAGGCATCTGGAGTCCTGGACTCCTCTGACGGGATGGACGGAGAGGCTCTGGGGAAGAACATATTGAGGACAGGGCTGAACCGGGCTGGGCGATCATCGAGTTGATTGAGGTGACGGATGAACAGCGGGCGATCCTGCCATGATCCGTAATGGGTTGAGAAGCACAAAGGCAGCTTGGCACACGGGGCCATGTGGGTTGCCCGCTGTACTCTGGGCTTGCCCCACGGTGCCCTGGGCGAGTTCCATGGGATAGTTTAGATTGTGTAGTAAGGGTTTTTTTTTGCACATTTGTATTTGTTTTTGTTTTGAAAAATAAAATATATATATTTAAAAAAGAAAAATAAGAAATTGTCTGCTCCCGCTACAAATCTCTCCTGTTTGGCTGCTGCCCTACATCCTGTGG